TTGTGTGTGCCAAAGAGGGTATTTCAGTCCTGGGTTTGGGACCTGGGGTGGAATCAGAGGCAGCATACCTTCCCTCGTGATTGGCTGCTATTTTGGTTTTTAAGGCTGTCATTTTTGTCAAGAACTAAGACTGAATTACTACCCTTTATGGATGATACTTCCAAAAGCTATTTAATATTACTTTGGCTTTCGGGGTAAGAGAGGGGGAAAAGGAGACAGATATAGATATTTCAGTAAGCTGTAAGACATTTGATTGCAGAGTATTATGCACAAAAGAGGAAATGTTTCCCCGCTTTCCTATAAAAATGTAAAAAAATTAACCATACTGCTTTTAAGGTGTGTTGTGATTAGGTCACGGAGTGGGCCCTGCTGTTGTTAAGAATGGAAACTAACCAGCACAGGTTGGTTCCACCAAGATACAAAGAGAGGGGCCACAGCAGCTGTCTGAAGTGGCGCGCCCCGGAGGGAGGGCTGTGTACGGATCCGTCACCCCGCTGGTGCTGCCAGGTTCGCTGCACAGCCGGCGCAGCGGGGGTTTCTGGAGCATGGTCCCTGCACGGCATTAGTGACTCTTCATCTTTCCCAAACTTTTTTGTTCCCCTTCTTTTAAAATTTCTCTGTACTGCTCCAAAAGTCTTAGTGCAGTTTTAACCTTTTTTTAATCTCTAAAGTATAACATGCTATTGAAAGACTAGTTATTACACTTTTTAAGTGTTGATTTTTAAAAATTGAATCCAACTATCCAGTGTCTTGTGCTATCTAGCTCTCTAGTCTTTTTTCAAAGCAGCTCCGCATCTCCTCGATCTAGGCCTGTCGTGAATCAAAGATTCTCTCTGTATAGTTAACCCAGTTGTCAAACTTCTATGGTGAGAAACAAATTTTGTTTCTTATTTATGGGGGAAACACATTTTGTTTTTATTGCCATCGTAGACTAGCGTTCAGACCAGAGAACAGGTGCAATTTTTTTGTATATATTTGTTATTTAGTCAGAGGGACTGAAACAAAACCAAATTTAAAAATCATTACAGTATTCAGAATTCACAAAACTAAGGAATATAAAAGAAATGTAAGTAATTGAACTTTCAACTGCACTGAGACTTGAGAGACACCCTGTCTGTCTTAAACACCAACAAGAGTGAGGAAAACATCATTTTATCTTTTGCCCCTTTTTTGCCCCCAACTTCGCACCTTCCCGGTTCTCCCTGGTGGGACCAGGGCCCTCCCTCACCTGCTTTGCAAGCCCAACATGTCCTTGAACCAGCACCTCTGTCCCTCTGCTGGCACCTGCCTGCAGGTGGGTGTGTGCTGCTCCACCAGGGTGGTGGGGGTGGTGATGGTGGTGGTGCCACCTCCGCTACTGCCACCGTTGCCTGGCAACAGATGCTTGCATTGCCAGCAGCTCCTGGCTGCACTTAGTTCTCTACCTACAGCTCCACGCCCCTGCTCTAGGTGAACCAGCTAGAATTTTGAATGCTGATCCCATGGTTGGAAACACAAGTGAGGATCAGTTTCCCAGATAAAGACAGGACTGGGAAAAGATGGACTTTGCAGGTCATCTAGTGCAGACCTGTACTATTAGGTCTGCTCTTGCAATCATACAAAATTCAGTATATGCACAGTTACGTTTAACCCTAATTCCTAATTTTTAACAAGTGGAAACATTTTGCTATATTTTTAGGGAAACCAAATATCAGGCTGCCTTAAACGTGAGCTTCTGGGTTCTAACTTATTTCTCCCTTTTAGAGTTTTCATGGGACTTGTTTTGTCCCCTTCTCTTCCCACCAACAATTCATAGAAATCTTGGCATTTAAAAAACTGACAGCCCTAACTGGTTTGGCGGCCTGCGGACTGAAGGGTCCCGAGTTCGATTCTGGTCAAGGGCATGTACCTTGGTTGCAGGCACATCCCCCGTAGGAGGTGTGCAGGAAGCAGCTGATCGATGTTTCTCTCTCATCAATGTTTCTAACTCTGTATCCCTCTCCCTTCCTCTCTGTAAAAAATAAATAAAATATATCTTTTTAAAAAAAAAACTTGACAAGTCTTTATAAACATTCCACTACACTATGCCATTTTTATATACCTTCTCTCACCTTCTGCCAAAATCCAGGTTAGATTAGGGACTGAGACCATGGCCGAGGCAGATGGGGTAGAAAGGATAGGACAGACACACAGGACACAGATCAACAAGATCCTACTTGGGGGAGGGCTTGTATGGGAGGGAGGGGAGCAATGGTATATGTACAAAGATAATAATTTAATTTAAAAAAATTAAACACACACACACACACACACACACACACAAGATCCTACTTGGGTTGCCAAGAAGGAAAAGCAGTCAGGACTGACTTCAGGTTCTGGTTGGACAGCCAGGTTGTGAGCTGGGCTGGAGAGCTAATATGGACATGGAGCTGTGTGTACCCCCTGTGAAGAGGCAGTCAGCCCCGCCAGGGGGAAGAGGCTGTTGTGGGTCCAAGGTGCCTCCACCCGGGGGAGAAGTGAAGAGTCACTAGCCAGAGGGCAGGCAGGAAATCAAAAAGACCAGCAGCTGGAGGACAAGAGCTTCTCAAGCACAGACAGCCAGCCCCACCAGGAGGCCCAAGGAAGCCCAGACCCAAGTTCACGAGGACACGGAGATTAGCACGGCCCCTGCGCAGGGCTGACTCGAAAATTCATGAAGCGTTCCATGTTTTAGACAACACACACAAAAACCAGAGCTCACGGGCGATGGCCAGCCACCGGGACACCACGGGTGACCGTGGAGAGAGTATCTCCAGTGCAGGGGGTGGGCTGCCAGAGGCTGCGGTCCGGACAGGTGAGGCCGGACACGGGAGTCACCTTCCCTTGTAGCTCTCGGCAGTGGCGGGCAGGAGGAAAGCTGGTGGAACTAACCGGCCACTTGCCATGAAGGAGGCGCTGCCGGTTTTAAATGGGACAGGGTTGAAGGTATTTGTGCACTTGGAGGAAAGAGTTTGAGGAAAGAGGGGCGATCAGAGGAGAGGGGCCACACTGACAGAGTGAAGACTGCCATGCCCCTGGGCGCAGGGGCAGCCTGGCAGGGAACCTCCCCCCAACCCCCACCCTCCCCACCCCAGGGGGAGGGCATGGGAAAGAATCCTTGTGCAGTCCTCACTGGTTTGGCTCAGTGGATAGAACGTGGGCCTGCAGACTCAAGGGTCCCAGGTTCGATTCCGGTCAAGGGCATGTACCTTGGTTGCAGGCACATCCCCAGTGGGGAGGGTGCAGGAGGCAGCTGGTAGATGTTTCTAACTCTATATCCCCCTCCTTTCCTCTCTGTAAAATAAATAAATAAATAAATAAAAAATTAAAAAATCAATAAAATATATTTTTTGAAAGAATCCTTGTTCAGTGCCCGGACCCTGGAGCCTGGAGCCCCTCAGCTTGCAACCGCCATACCCAGGGCAGTGGTCTCCGCAGCACCAGGCAGCGCCTTGGACCTCCTCCCCCCAGAGCAAGGCTCGTGGAACGGCTGGTGCCCCTGGAGCTGTTGTGGCAGGAATTGGGGGGGCCTAGCTCACCCTCACAGTCCAGGAGGACACACCTGCCTCCTGCCCTCCTTTGGTCCTTGACTACAAGGCCAAGTTCGAGGCCAGCGTGCCCTCTCGAAAAAAGAGTAGAGCCGTGGAGAGGAGGGCCACGGCGAGCCGGGGGCTGGGCGTCAGGACGGGAGGCCGAGGGGCGTGGGTGCGCGGAGCCATCTAGAAAGTGCGGGGAACAGGGGCGGGCGCCGGGAGCCTCTCGCAGGCCCTCCTCCTGATGGAATATGCATGATCCCGCCGCCTCCCGCCCGCCTATGAGCGGGAGGAGGCAGCTGATGCACCTGCGGGAGCGCTCGCTCGTCCACCCACTCGCCCGGGCTCGGGGTGCGAGACAGCCAGCCACCTGGCAGCGGTCGGGACCCCACGAGGGTGAGCCTCCCACGGCCGGGCCCTGAGAGGTCAGCTCCCGCCCCTGCAGCTCCGTGAGCGCCGGCCTCCCTCCCTCACCCCGGGCCGGCCACCTGCCGCACCCCCCCTCCCGCGGGCCGGGCTCCCTCCCTGCGCGGAGCCCGCGGACCCGGGACCCAGGGGGAAACCTGGGTCTCCTGCTGCTGGGGGGTTGGTGCCCACAGTCGCCCTGCAGGGACCCGCACGCACACGCTCCGTCCTTCCCGCCGCGCTGGGCACCAGCCCGCGGGCGCACCGGCTGAGCGCGCAGCCTCGGACCCCGGCCGGCCGGGCGCTTCCCGCTGGGCAGCCCCGCAGCTTGCGGGGAGCGGGGCCAGGGAACTAGGGCGAGTGGAGGGCGCAGCCCCACCACCACCACCACCACCGCCTTCCTTCGCTCCCTGCACGCTGTCCCCCCAGCAGATCGCCCTAGACCGTTATCTCTAACCCGTTAGCCGCCGCGCGTCCGAACCGAAACCATCCATCCCCGCAGGCGCTCAGCTCCGCGCGTCTTCCCGCGTCCTTCCCGGTTAGGAGTTTGCGGGGGGCATCGGGCGGGAGAAGACGGCCTGTTCGGATCCGGAGACGCCGGGAGACCAGCCCGGGCATCTCTTCCAGCCGCCGGGGAGAGAGGCCGCCGCGGGACCTGCTCCCCATCGCTCTCTGTGCAAACTCCTGACCCAGCCGCGCCCGGCGCCCCCGCGAGCGCGCAGGCATGGGCTGCCTGGGCAACAGCAAGACCACCGAAGACCAGGGCGTGGATGAGAAGGAGAGGCGCGAGGCCAACAAGAAGATCGAGAAGCAGCTGCAGAAGGAGCGCCTGGCGTACAAAGCGACGCACCGCCTGCTGCTCCTGGGTAAGGCGCGGCGGCTCCGCAGGGCCCGGAGCGCACAGCCCGCCCTCCTGCCCATCCGCCGGGCCGCCTGGCCCAGCGCCTGCCTGAGCTTCGCAATGCCGGCCCTGGGGCAAGATCGCCGCTCAATGTGGGTTGATGTGAACGGCGCCCAGGGCATCCGACTGCAGGTCACAGCATCCTTTCTGTTTGTTTTTTGCAGGGGCTGGTGAGTCTGGGAAAAGCACGATCGTCAAGCAGATGAGGATCCTGCACGTCAATGGATTCAATCCCGAGTAAGCAATGATCGGTTTCGGTTTTTGCTTAGAAACTGTGTACACGCTGTCACTCCTTTCCCAGCTTCCCCTAGAGTTGCTTTCTCTAGGCGTTAATCACTGAATGCACCTTTTAGGGAGAAAAATGTAGGAATGGATTGTTGAATTTGGTATATTTAGGTAAACCCTTTCTCTAGATTAAGAAAAATAACTTGCTTTACAAAATATGACTTATTAGGCATTCTTGAGGTATTGATCTGTGTATTCTTGGTGCTGCTCTGAACACACTTAACGAGCATGTCAAAGTGTACTTTTCTCTATATCAATTGTCTGCATCCATTTCAATTCATACCTATCAGCACCTGGATAGGTTCAGATCAAATATATTTGCAAGTATAGCTGTACAGTTTTTATAGGCAGTATGCATGACAGGCTTGGTGTGTTTGGTGCGACAAGTTTGGTTGTGTAAAGCTATAGGTTGTAATGTGTGCATTCGAGTTTGTTTGGAGTACAAACTAGAGAAGGGGCATGTTTTCCCTCCCCAGACAGAAACTTTGCAGATAAGAACTGTTGCTCTGGGGATTGGTGTAGACTGCTAGGAACACCAGTCTAGCCAGGGGCTGCAGCTGGAAATTTAAACTTCCACCCAATTCACTCGAATCAGTGCTGACGACAAAAGAAGTTAATAACAATTCTCTTGTAATGCAGGGAGAAGAAGCAGAAAATCCTGGACATCCGGAAAAATGTTAAAGATGCTATTGTGGTAAGGACTTTTACTTAATGGTTGTTTGCTAGAAGAGTGAAGTACTCTGCTCTCTAAGCAGACAGAAATTATTCATTCGCTTATCATACATCGAGCCTGTGTTGTAGTCACCCACAAATATATTGTTCCTTATTCCGTTTTAGACAATCATCTCAGCGATGAGTACCATAATACCTCCAGTTCCACTGGCCAACCCAGAAAATCAATTTCGATCAGACTACATCAAGAGTATAGCCCCTATCACCGACTTCGAATATTCCCAGGTATGTGAATCGGTCCTGAAATAATTCAACTGGTGCAAGATGGAATCCTTTTATTTTCTTTTTCTTTTTTTTACCTCACTTGAAGATATGTTTACTGATTTTTAGAAAGAAACGGAGACAAGGAGACAGGGGAAGAGAGAGAAAAAAAGAAAACATTGATATGAGAGGGAAACATTAGTTGGTTATCTCCCTTATGAGCCCCAATGGGGGTGAAGCCCTCAACCTAGGTATGTGCCATGACTGGGAATCGAACCCACAGCCTTTTGGGGTACAGGATGAGGCTCCAACCAACGGAGCCGCACCAGCCAGGGCAGAGCCATTTTTAATGTGGTGGCTTACTGAGAATCAACATTAATATTAGTTCATGGTTAACTTCAAAAATCTAGCTCTGCTTAAATGAAATATTTCCTCTGTATCAAAATGTTAACATTGGTTAAAAATACGAAAAACAGTAGGATTATGAAAAAAATGCTTTTATGAACGAATTGGTGAGGTTGATAATGAGGAAGACAGCATACCTTTAAGAAAAAATCTAAAGAACTTTTTCCTATCTGAATTTCTAAATTAACCAGTGGTTTCCAGGAGGATAAGTCAGTAGAAATTCCACAAGTAGAGAGACGTGCTCTCTGGTATGTGATTGCATCTGAGGGAAAATTAGAACAGAATTCAGTTTACTTTTAAGGCAAGTGTCCTTCAGATCAGATAAGAAGAGAATTCATGCTGTAAATAATAACGTGGATTACTTCTGAACATTTACTACATGATAGGAAAATGTAGTTCATTTTACATCTGCAGATTGAGGGCTGCTTTCCTAATCACTTGGATGGTAATATTGCTTTAAAAAGGATGATGTGAATATTAGTTTTCTCTTGTTTGGGAATAAACTTTTCTTTATAATACTGTTTGGCAATTAGATCAAGCATGTTTCATAGAAAACTGTATTTGTTACATTTCTCAGAAAATCATTTTTGCTGCCGTTGTGCTAAAAAAAAAAAAAAAAAAAAAAGTATATGTTTGTACTGTGTGTGTATCAGTAGCAGTATTTCCAAGATTTTATTATACTACCTGGCACAGCGGTCTTGAGACACTTTTCATCCTCAAGATCCTCTCTTCCCGGGGAAGCTGGTGCAGAAACCAGCATGTCCAATAGACAGGTCCCGCCCTGCTTACGCCTGCTCAGCCCCACCCTTCTCTTCAGCACCACAGGGATGTCCCGTAGGCTGTATCGGGGTGACAAATAAGAATTACTTTTTTTTTTTTTTTTTAGCTTTTATTTGCATGCTATACTGGGATTGTTGTTTCTGGTAAGCATTCCAGTGTAGCCAGCGAGATCTCTAGAATTTTTAGAAAGGATTCAGGGGTAGCAGAATGGCTGGGAAAAGAGATAAGGGACTTGGCACAGCAGGGCCCACTGTTTTTCACTGAACTGTGTCTTTAATTGATTGGTGGCTCTCAGGGGAATAAAGGGGATGATGTGGGGGAAGGAGGAGGTAGCACCAAAGCGGTGCTTCAGCAGCTGGAGCTCCGGGCGTCCTCCCAGCCTTTTATGTAACGCGGCAGTCACGTCCCCCAAACCGCAGGGTCCCGGCTGAAACCAGGAGAGGCACGCCCACTCAGCTTCAGGTTTACACATTTATAAACACACATGTAAGTTCTCAATTTTGCCCTGTCGTGTTCACCTAAAAATAGTCCTAAAACATCTTATACATGGCTCTGATGCAGGAAAACGGTGATTCTTGGCGTATAATGAGAAATTAGAACTAAGATGTATTCATCAGTCACACATTTTCTTTCTCCTTCATGACAAACTCACACATGATAAACATATTCCATATTTAATCTAAAGCTCAGAAACAGGAACGCTCAAGTAGATTCCTATGGAATCCAAAGCACCTAATTTGTGAACATGTTGATGAAGTTAAATCATATTATTAATTTAAATAAATAAACTTGAGAAACCATTTCCTTTGCACCCATGTATTTCCATATAGATATGTTAAGGCTACTTAAAAGTGGTTATCAGAATCAAAATTAATAAAAGAGAATTGGGAACCTGAAGATGCAATTCTATAATAATAAAAGCATAATATGCTAATTAGGCCAGACAGCTGAATGATCTTCCAGGCAAAGACATGGCTGCAAGGGCCAAGCCCTTGCACAAATTTCATGCATCAGGACTCTAGTGTAATTATAATGGTCTTTCAGAGGTAATTTTTTTTTTAATTATAGTTTTTTTTAGCCTAACATTCTATTGTCATCTGTGTCTCTGTCCTTTTCAAATGAGATTATGTTTATAAAAGAGCCTATACTTATATAAATAAGGAAATTAATATCTAAATGTATAACTTTGCTTCTGAAATGCTATTTTTATTGGATATGCACACATTTTCAATAACGTTTATTACCTGATGCTCTGAAATATTTATTTCACTTATATTATTAAACAGTTCTTGGATTGACATTTTGATGATCCTAAGACAAATCTCTGACATATGTTCATAATACTTGCTACATTTAGAGAAAATTAAAAAATGTATACTGTAAAAATCATAACAGCAGAGCTAAACCAAGAATTCTTTATAGTAAACATAACACTGATTTACTAAATCTAGTACTTTTTTTAGATCAAATCCTTAAAAGTCTTTTGATGTCACATTTCTCTTCTGTTCTTTTGCTCTCCATTTGAATTTCAATTTAATTATATGAAACTTTAATTGTAACAGAAAGAAGGCCAGCATAGTGAGTGCCTATCCAGCTAAGGGTTGCTGGGGAAGGTTCCAGAAAGCGCCAGGGGCCCGACTTCACAGACCTCTTAGGCCAGGTCTGTGCTGCTCTGAGAAGCCTTTAGGTGAAATCCAGATGATCACATATGGACTCTGTTTATCACTTTAGGTAGTAATCCAGATGAAAGTTAGTGGAGCAGTTTGGATGGGGTGGTATCATGAATGAGTTAGTTGCCTCTTTACAGTTCTTCTCATGTGCATCCATATCATCTTGGCTCTGAACTGGGCTCTCCCCTGAACACCCTTCCCTAGTTGGCACCATGTCTTTCCATCCGGCTCATCTACCCGTGAAAACAGTCTCAGGTGATGATCGTGGCAGTAATTCAACCCAGAATCAAGTAGTACATGTAATTTCTATCTCTGCTTTACTCTAACAATACCTCAGCTGTGGTGAGCCAGCACGGTCATGGCACACTCAGCCCCACGTCGGGCGCCTTATGTGCCGCGCCAGCTCAGCCAGCTTCTGTGACCCTGAGAGGGGGCGGTGAAGGATTGAGAAAAGGCAGACAAGAGAAGAAATCTCGGTCTGAGTGGGATGCTGTCCTCTCTGATGGAAAGCCTCTGTGATGGAGAGCTAATGATAGTGCCACTGACTACAAGCTATGTCTTTATTTTATAGTCAGATTGATGGAGAGCTAATGATAGTGCCACTGACTACAAGCTATGTCTTTATTTTATAGTCAGATTGATGGAGAGCTAATGATAGTGCCACTGACTACAAGCTATGTCTTTATTTTATAGCCAGATTCCACAAGGCAAAGTAAGGGCGTGGTCAATATATTTACAACATTCTCCCGAGTTTCAAGTTTACTCAATTACATGCGTCTGAACTCTATCGAGCCCACATCACTCAGGCAGGTGGGGCCAGGTGTTCAGACCTTAGGCTCAAGCTTACAGCTACAGCTGTTGGCTATCATTGTGCTGGGAGGACCATGAGAGACCTGTGTCCTCTCATTAGTCTGAGGCTTGAACGATCCAAACACTGTAGCCACTCTCCACACTCGGCCTTTCTTTATTTTATCTTTTCATGATATTGACCAGACATTTATTTTGTGGGATGTGCTTACTGTGGTTCACCTGATGCATCGTGACTACATTTGGTTAGTGCTTTGGCATCAAAAACACAGAAATGGCCTGTGTCCTTCCTAGGGAATTGGGGGCATTAACTCTGATCACTTAGTGAGGTGCTGCCTGCCATGTTTCTCTTCTCCTTTCCCCTTTGTAATTCATAAGTGCATTTTAGGAATGTCCATTGAGACTGTATTTACTTTTGAGACTGTATTTTTAATCGAAATATTTACACTTTAGTTTTAGCCCACTAATAAATTGTATCCATAATAAATATTTAAGGTGGAAAGCTTTTGTCAATTCTTGTGACAATCTCTAAATACTGTAGTGAAAATTAAATAGAGGGTGGACCATGATGCTGCTTTTCACGTAATAAAAAGAGCATCATTGGAGGATTAGCCAGAGCAGCGACCTCTCGTCTACACCAACACGCCGAGAAGTCTGGGAAAACACTCTTCCCTAAAGTGTTTTTTTTCTTATAGAAAATACTAGAGGCCCGGTGCACAGGATTTGTACACTGGTGGGGAGGGGGGGTGACCGTCAGGATCGGCCTGCTGCAGGAGCAGCTGCTCATCCAGGTCAGCTGTATGGCGCTCCCACCATGGGAGTGCACTGACCACCAGGGGCAGCTCCTGCATTGGGCGTCTGCCCCCTCTTGGTCAGTGTGCACCATAGCTACTGGTCCACCGGTCATTCTGGTCATTCTGCCATTCAGTCGCTGGGCTTTTATTATATAGGATATTTGAATGGTCACAAAGTAAGGCAACATATTTTTTTAAGTTTCTTGGATAAGCTGTCATGAAACTTCAAATCTATTGAAAGTATGTTGTTAAGGTTTTTGATGTCATGGTTCACCTCAAATTTGGATGTACCAGAAGTTTATTGCTTGGTTTACCAAAGTAGTTCATTTATAAGAACACGGAGCAGTTTTCAGAAGAATGTAACATCAAAAATACCTTAGTATAAGGGCATTTTGTCCTTATCATTGCTATTTTTATATGACTCAGAGAGAAAACATTTTGACTTTTACAGGGCTCTCTTGGGAAATGATGGAAGGAGCAGTAGGCTCCACGTGTCAAAGTAAGATTTGAATGAGTTGACATGTGGTTTGTGAGAAAGGTACACTGAGGTTTTAAGAGGCAGAATAAT